CCTAAACACCCTAAACACCCTAAATGCTAATGCTTGCAAAAACTCGAGTTCCGGTTGTCGCGCTTCAAGCGGTTAAAGTAGAAGGGTTGCGCTCCCTTTGATTTCCATGTCTTCTGCTGCGCTCTGGAGAATGGCTTAGGGCTTTCTTTTGTGTTAGGGTTTAGGGTTCGGGGTTTTGGGTTTACGGTTTAGGGTTTTGGTTGCTGCTGGGGAGGATCGGCTCAGCGACGACAGCATCCGCACCAGCTACGTCTCGCACCAGCGCAGAGGGGAGGATCGGTGGTCGAAATCCTGAACCCTATAAACCCTAATCCTCCCTAAGCCAGTTGGCTAGTTCGTTTACGCCAGAGGGATGCCAGATAGTTGCTTGCAAGTGCACGGGTGGCTACCACGGGCGCTTAGGGTATTAGAGCTTTAGGGTTTAGGGCTTTGGGGCAATAGGGTTTAGGGTTTGGAACTTGGGGTTGAGCTTAAGGGTTTTGTAGCTGGTAAGGTCCAAGCGCCGAGCAAAGAAGAAGGCCCCGCCAGCAGCAGTTGGAAGTGGGGAGGGCAAGAGGGGGCTGGTCGTGAGGGTCGCGACAGATCGAGGAGCTGGCCAGCGTCCCTGGTGTCAAAGCTGTCCCGGGCTGCTTCCACAGATGCTAAGGTCAAGCATGAGGGTTTAGGGTTTAGGGTTTAGGGTTTAGGGTTTAGGGTTCAGGGTTTAGGGTTTAGGGTTTAGGGGGTGACAACCCTCTTGGCCTGGATGCAGACATGGCTCGTGTGAATGACCGATGTGGCGGAGGCAAAGTGTGCCTGAAGTCCTTGACAGTGGAGAGGTACCTTTCCGGGGAGAAGCTCGGAGTGTGGCTGCAGGCCACCACTCGTATACAATAAGACAAGTTACTACTTTACAGTCGAAGAAGCTTTATAAGGCTCTAGAGTTTGGAGTCTTTAGAGCCAGAGTCCAGAGTCTAGAGGATGTTGGGGAGGGGATCCTTGCAGCCCTGTCTGGCTGGGGGTGGGGGGGGGCCTAAACCCTAAACCCTAAACCCTAAACCCTAAACCTATTCAGCCACTTTCCATGGCTCCTCATGGGCCTTGACTTTGTGTGTTTCAACCCGCAGAAACCCTAGCTAAGCCCCCAAAACCCCCAACCGTAGGCCCGCCCTACCGCAAATAAATCAGCGTCTACAAGATCTAAAGGCTTAGGGTTCAAAGTTTAGGGTTTCGGGTGCAGGCCTTATAAGGGTCAAGGATAACTCCCCCCCTCCCGCCCCAACCCTCAACCCGAAACCCTGAAACCCTGAAACCCTAAACCCTTAACCCTAAACCCTAAACCCGAAACCCTAAACCCTAAAACCCCGAGCGCACAGCCTTGCCTTTGAGAGCCCCCAGGATGGTGAAGTGGACGATGACGGCCTTCCTCTTGTCTACAACAGCACCTTGGTAGCTGAATGAGTACACTTTTAGGGTTTAGGGTTTAGGGTTTAGGGTTTAGGGCTCAGGGTTTAGGGCTTAGGGCTTAGGGCTTAGGGCTTAGGGCTTAGGTAGAGTTTTGTTTGGGGACTTCTAAACTCAGCAACTGAGGTACTCTCATCAACAGCTATTGGGGCACCCCTGGCGGCATACTTTTGTGGCACTCTTGAAAAGACCCTGAACCCCCTAAACCCTAAACCCCAAAGCCTTAAACCCTAAACCCTAAACCCTAAACCCTAAACCCTAAACCCTAAACCCTAAACCCTAAACCCTAAACCCTAAACCCCCAGAGCCTCTAAAGCCTTCGCAACTCCCTCTTCAGGGCGCTTGTAAAAGGCTTGTGTGGTTTGTGGCGTAGAGGGTGCACAGCTCAAGGCGTGTTTCGCATGGTCACAGGCCCGTCGTTCAGATACAGGTTCTTCGCAGTATACTTGGACGCCCGGCGCGGAATGTTTTCAATGTTGTGGTCTTGTGTTTGGGGGACTTGGAGACATGCTTTTGGTAAGACTGGCATCAAGATCTCGATTCCAACAAGCGGATCCTGAGTTGCTACTAGTAGGGACCTTGTACTACAAGGCATCCATAATGGCATTGGGGAGGGCTGTTCTTTTTGTTCAACAAGGTGTGGATTCTGGGCGCGTTCTTCAGGCCCTTTAAGCCCAAACGCGGCGCGCAACACCCTAAGCACCAAGCACAGACGGCTAGCTAGACCTTCCGCCTTATCCCTACTAATTAATCCTCAACCGCCTTGACCCTAGACCCTTTCGGCTTTAGTTTTTGTTCGGCCCTTTCTTCAAACAACACGGCCTAAACCCTGAACCTATTCGACCCTGATATATGGCTTGGGTGGTTGTTTGCCCGTTCTTTCTGTCGAGTCCGTTGAGGCAAAAATGCGGGAGCGGTCACTGGGCGCTGGTCGGACTTCCTCGGGTGCGCCGTGCTAGGGTTTAGGGTTTAGGGGTTAGGGTCTAGGGTTTAGGGTTTTTTCAGAGTTCAGGGTTTTTGTTGAGAGCTTCGGGGTTTAGGGGCCTCTGGTCTTTTCGGGCCTTTTTGATTTTTTGTGGCTTATAGGGCTTAGGGTCTGAGGTTTCTTTGGCCTAAGCTTGAAATTAAACCTTTGAAGCCCTAAGCCATAAACCCCTACTTGTGGGGACTTTTGGCGCCTTGTGGGGTTGAGGTTGTCAGGGTTTTTAGGACCCAGAGTAGGCCCTTATTCCCTTGTTGTAGGGTTTTAGTTTCTCTTACAAGCCCCTCTAAACCGAAAAGGGCACCCTTCTTACTACTAGGTTACTCCTGAATCTCGGTTGAGGTTTTCGCTGCTGAATCTCTGCACCGCGACAGCAGGAAGCCCTTGAACTTACTGATGGTCCTTCCTTTGCTGGGTTTAGGGTTTAGGGTTTAGGGTTTAGCTCCCTTTCTTTGTTTGTTACTGGGGGCCTAAGAACAGTAGAACGAGCAGAACGCCTTGTGCTTTTTACTCCGAGCGCCTTACAATCGGTAACCTTATGTTAAGGCCCCAAAACAAGTCTACTGCCACCCGAAGACTCCGACCTTATAGGCGCGTATAAAACCCTGTTCCTAAACCCTGTTAACCCTAAACCCTAAACTCTAAGCCCTAAAGCCCTGTTAACCCTAAATTCTAAACCCTAAACCCTGAACCCTGAACCCTAAACCCTAAACCCTAGCCCCAAACCCGAAACCCTCAACCTACAAGTCCCAGCACAGACCGCAGGGTTGCCACTCCCTGGATCGCCAGCGCCTTCGCCGCCGCGATGACGGGCCGCTGGTCGGAGGAGGACTGCCGCAGGTTTAGGGTTTAGGGTTTAGGGTTTAGGGTTTAGGGTTTAGGGTTTAGGGTTTAGGGTTTAGGGTTTAGGGTTTAGGGTTTTAGGGGTAGGGTTTAGGGTTTATTGAGTTTAGGGTTTAGGGTTTAGTGTTTGGGGTAATAGCATGATAATACTGAGTATGAAATAACATAGTTAACGAAAGAAGTAGCAAGAGTGACAAATCATATTACAAATACTTATAGCGGCCGGAACGCTCATCAATACGTCAGGCCTTTAGGGTTTGGGGCCTGTAGTAAGGCGCGCTAAGGCTTTGTAGGTTCGGATGTTGTGGGTTCAGGGATTGTTTGGTTAGCTGTTTTGGGGGGGCCTTGGCTATGCGTTGTCGTGACGGGGAGTTGTTGCGTGAGGGGCTTCTGCGGCTCTCTGATGTTGTTTACCTGCCATTTGCTGAAGAGTGAAGAGCCACTTACATGGAGGAATGTCCATTTTTTGGATCTTACGCAAATAGTGGTTCTGAAGCAAGCAGTCGTTACTGGCTCTTGAAGGAGTGGAGCAGCGGATCTCTTCTGCAAGCCTTTCAGTTTCTACACGCATATCCTTATGATGATGCCCAACTCCATGCATGCAGGAGCGTTCCTTGGCCAAGGATGCAGTGGAGTCGATGCAATCTCTGGGCCTTTCGGCCTGCAGTCTTATCTTCCCTGCGGGGACGACATGAACCTTAAAAATTGGGGTCGTATACCCAACCCCTAATTACTAAGGTATGTGAGCCTCGAGCCATGAACCCTTTTAGGGGTCATTTCGTCCCCAACGATGTGGGCAAGTGTCTAATCCTCGGGGTAGGTGTGATGGCGATGCAAGGGACCTCCCACTGCTACGAATGACGCTACTCATGACTCCTTAACACTCTTACTTCCATGCGGTGTGTCTTTTCCTGGGTTTAGTGTTTAGGGCTGAGGGCTTGCAGTTTGGGTTCGGGCGCGAAGGGCGGGTGTACCTTGACATTTGCATTCTTTGGCTTGCAAGGGTTCCTTCATAGTGGCCTTGGGCCAAGTATCCGGACCCTCAGGCAATGCAACTGCCTAAGCCCTAAGCCCCGATTGGACTTTTGAACCCTAAGCTGGCCCTATAGAGTCAGGTTTAGGGTTGAGGGTTTGGGGTTCAGGGTTTAGGGATCTAAAGTCTCATGAGTCTAATGACAAGCCTTTGCCTTCTCAGTGTAAATCCGAAACGGCCCGATGCCCTCGCGCCGAGCCTACACGAGGCAGGGTCTGGGACTTGGGATTTAAGAGCTTAGGGTCTATGGTTTTAAGTTTAGGTTATAGGGTTCTGGGTTTAAGGAGTCTTGTCAGTCTCCCAAAAGGCAAAGCCCTACATATGCTGGTGTCCAAGCCCCCCCCCCCCTCCCGCCCCCCTTAAACCCAAACCCCAATCCCTCATCTCCAAACTGCATTCTTCGACCCTCACATCCTAAACTGGGTTAGGGTACTTTATGGCCCCCTCAATACCGCGGTACCCCAAAGGACACAAACCCACACAAGCAGGCCTAGGGCTTTATGGTTTAGGGCTTAGGTAAACCCTGTTGTAAACCCGAAACGGGCTCCCTAAACCCTAAACGCTAAACCCTAAACGCTAAACCCTAAACCCTCAGCCCTAAACCCTAAACCCTAAACCCTAAACTCTCAATCAGGCCCGACCTTCATCAAGCTTGGGCAAGTGCTGAGCATCCGCCCCGATGTACTGTCGCCCGTGGTGATGGATGAGTTGCCTGGCCTGCCCAGTGTTTTTTACAGGGTCTTTTAAGGGGATCAGGGTTCAGGGTTTAGGCCTCGGGTTCAGGGTTTTGGGGTTTCGGGGTTTTGGGGTTTCGGGGTTTTGGGGTTTTGGGGTTTTGGTGTTTCGGGGTTTTGGGGTTTTGGGGTTTTGGGGTTTTGGGGTTTTGGGGTTTTGGGTTTTTGGGTTTCGGGAGGTTGCTGTCGTCGTCCCGAGTTGAACAGCCCCGCTGATCGAGACAGCCAGAACTTTGGTCGTGCAAAGTTCGCTAGGCTTGCTTTGGGACATCGGGCTGCACGTTGATGTCTGCATATATGCACACACACATACATATATATATATATATATATATATATATATATTTGAACATATATACATAGGTGTATGTAGATGTTCTTCTGTATTATTTGTGAACACAGAGACAGACAGAGAGAGAGAGAGAGAGAGAGGGAGAGCATGCAACCTTCGGACTCAATTTGCCCGAAAAAACCTAGCGTTTCTCAGTAGACAATGAGGGAATTTAGGTGCCTTCTATCCATACGCTTTGAAGGGACTCTGTAGGGCACCTTCTATACCCCTATATATACCCTTCACGGGATTCTCCAGGGTATCTAGATCCCTCATTTCCCCCTAGCAAGCAACCCCAAACCCGAAACAAGAAGCCCTTAAACCCTAAGCCCTAAAGTTGTTAGGGGGTTTAGGGGCTTTTAGTGGGTTTTTAGGGTTTCTAGCGATTTTAGGGGTTGAAGGGTTTTAGAGTTGTAGGGTTGCAGGGTTTTAGGGGCTTTAAGGTTGTAGGGTTGTAAGATCTTTTGGGGTTTTGGGGTTGAGGGTTGTAGGGTTTTGGGGAGGCTTTGGGTTTTCGGGTTTTAGGGTTTTGAGGTTCAGGGTGTCAGGGCTTTCGGGTTCATCGGGCTTGTACAGACCGTGGCATTCGGCGCTTCGTCTAGGATTTGGAGGTCTCCGTGCCTTTGGGTATCTGGGAGCTCAGATGAATTGTCTGATTTAGGGCTTAGGGTTTAGGATTCAGAGGTTTTGCTGTTCAACCCTTAACCCTGAACCCTACGCTTTCAAGCCTACGGGTTTGTGCGGAGGCTGAGCGCGCTGCAGGACGACATCGTGGCGCAGCGGCGTTACCCGAATCCTGAGCCCTACTTAACACTAAGCCCTAAAGCCTAAATGTAAGGGTAGTTTTATGGGCCCTTAATATCAGCCCTTGCCTTCTCCAAAGGATTGTGAGGTGGTTAATAAGTACCATGAACCTCCAAGTACAGGTTCTTAGTAGGGCACGAGTGAACTAGGTACCTTATGTCCCCTATACATGTCCTTTAATGGAATATCGTCTACAACAGAGCATGAATGATCAGGCCGGGGGGCGCCCTAAACTCAGACACTTTGCTCTCTTCATTGCTGGAGTGCTCATGTCATCTCGTTTCGTTTATGCTGGTTAGGCCGGGGATACTTGGGCCTTAAAGTACCTCCTATTTAGGGACGTTAGGACCCAAGTACATAATAATGAGGTACATGGACCCTTGGGGTTATACTCTACAGCCTAAACCGTTTATCTGCAACCCAGGCCACTTTCTCGACGGAGGAAGCCAGGGCCATCATCGAGAAAGAGTTGGGGAAGAGCGTGGACGAGGCGCTTCAGTGAAGGGTTCCTAGCTTTGGCATGTCAAGGTTTGGGATTGAGGGTTTAGGGTTTAGGGTTTAGGGTCTAGGGTTTAGGGTTTAGGGTTTAGGGTTTAGGGTTTAGGGTTTAGGGTTTAGGGTTTAGGGGAGCAACCCTAAGCCCTAAGCCTCATCTTGGAGCACACGCCCCCTCTTTGAGGTGCAAGGTTGCCCTAAGCCCTGAGCACTAAATCCTAAACCCCTAGACCCAAAACCCTGAACTCTAAACCCTAACCCCGATCCCAACTAGGCAGGGTTTCTCTTCATTTTCTATAAGTAGGCCCAAATTCTGTAAGAGAGCCCCAAGATAGACCTCAGATCCCACAAGAAGGAAGCCCTTTAGGCCCTGAGATGCTGTAGGGTTCAGGGTTCGGGGTTCGGGGTTCTGGGTTTAGGGTGTAGGGTTTAGGGTTTAGGGTTCAGGGCTTAGGGTTTAGGAACGCCGCCCATGCATCCATAGACCTCACACTGACCACCCTGACTTCGTTTCAGGTCTTTTCCGATTTCTCAGCTGAGCCGGTGGCGGCTGCGAGCTTGGCGCAGGTCTACAAGGTGAAGCTCTCGGGTTTTTCGGGTTCGGGGGAGGGGGAGGGGGCGGTTTAGGGTTTAGGGTTTAGGGTTTAGGGTTTAGAGTTTAGGGTAACCCTAAACCCTAAGCCCTAAACCCAACAGGGAGCCGAGGGCTGCTTGGTTCACAAGGCTTCGTGCGTCCCAGCACCCCAAGTGACAAAGTGCTCCCTCGAGCTCGGAGTAGCTGAAACCGTAAACCCTAAACCCTAAACTACTATTTGCTTAAGGACCCCAAAAGAACATTAAAGTACTCCCTGTATTACCCTTAATAAGGCATAATATTTTTCTGGGTTCTTAAGCAAGTAGTAGTAAACCCTAAGCCCAAAGTGGGGTTCAGGGCAGGTTGAGGGTTCAGCATCAGTTGTGGCAGAATGTCACGTTAGAAGTCCCTTAGTTCAAGTTCGTATCGGCGGGACCCCTGCCTGTAGCCGGAACCCGAAGTTCCTGCATGATTCGTCGGGGGTTCAAGCTGCGCTGCGTAGCGATATCTGGGGGTGGTTGCAACCCTGAACCCTAGAACTTAAACCCAAGACACTAGACCCTAGACCCTAGACCCTAAACCCTAAACCCTAGACCCTAAACCCTAGACCCTAAACCCTAAACCCTAAACCCCTGCCTCTATGGGCCCTAGCCTTTAGCGTTCGAGCTTCCATGGGTTGCTTCCCCAGAGCCCTGTTGCAGCATCCCCCCCAAAACAGTCCCACAACCCTAAACACTACATCCCCGAACCCTAAACCTGAAAACCCGAACCCTACACCCTAAAACCACTACATCCCCAAACCCTAAACCCCAAAAACCCCGAAAATCCCCAAACCCTAAACCCTAAAACCCCTAAAATCCCCAAACCCTAAACCCTAAACCCCCTCAACCCTAGACCCTAAAAGCCCTTAACCCCCTAAATCCCCGAACTCTCCGCTTCCAGAGCACCCTCGGCCCCTTCCTCTCCCCACGCAGGCGAAGTTGAAGGACTCCGGTGTGGAGGTGGCGGTGAAGGCCGTTTAGGGTTTAGGGTTTAGGGTTTAGGGTTCAGGGTTTAGGGTTTAGGGTTGAGGGTTTAGGGTTTAAGCTTTAGGGTTTAGGGTTTAGGGCTCAAAGGCTCCAAGTACCTTTGTTTTGGGTTGAGGCTGCAGGGTTGCCAATATACATCCATATATATATATATATGTAAGAGGAACCTCTATGTACTATTTGACATGGCTGCTTTCTGTATTAAAAGTTTTAATAGTTTTAATAGATTGAATATTAAAAAAGCCTCCGAAACTATTAAAACTATTAAAAAGAAGCATTTTTAATAGTTTTAATAGTTTTAATAGTTTCAACTTTTAAAAAGCCTTCCGAACTATTAAAACTTTAAAAAGAGAAGGCCTGGCCAGGAGATTCCTGAACTTTTAAAACTATTAAAACTATTAAAACTTTTATTAAGGCTTCCTTTTAATAGTTTTAATAGTTTTAATAGTTTGAACTTTTAAAAAGCCTCCCAAACTATTAAAACTATTAAAAAGAAGCCTTTTTAATAGTTTTAATAGTTCTAAAAGTTTAAATAGTTTTAAAAGTTTTAAAAGTTCAGGAATCTCCAGGCCAGGCCTTCTCCTCTTTAAAGTTTTAATAGTTTTAATAGTTTGAACTTTTAAAAAGCCTCCCGAACTATTAAAACTATTAAAAAGAAGCATTTTCAATAGTTTTAATAGTTTTAATAGTTTCAACTTTTAAAAAGCCTCCCAAACTATTAAAAATCTAAAAAAGAGATGGCCTGGCCAGGAGATTCCTGAACTTTTAAAACTATTAAAACTTTTAAAACTATTAAAACGATTAAAACTATTAAAACTTTTAAAAGGTCTTCCTTTTAATAGTTTTAATAGTTTTAATAGTTTGAACTTTTAAAAAGCCTCCCAAACTATTAAAACTATTAAAAAGAAGCCTTTTTAATAGATTTAATAGTTTTAATAGTTTTAAAAGTTTCAAAAGTTCAGGAATCTCCAGGCCAGGCCTTCTCCTTTTTAAAGTTTCAATAGTTTTAATAGTTTGAACTTTTAAAAAGCCGCCCAAACTATTAAAACTATTAAAAAGAAGCATTTTTAATAGTTTTAATAGTTTTAATAGTTTTAATAGTTTTAATAGTTTTAAAAGTTTTAAAAGTTTTAAAAGTTCAGGAATCTCCAGGCCAGGCCTTCTCCATTTTAAAGTTTTAATAGTTTTAATAGTTTCAACTTTTAAAAAGCCTCCCGGACTATTAAAACTATTAAAAAGAAGCCTTTTTAATAGTTTTAATAGTTTTAATAGTTTCAACTTTTAAAAAGCCTTCCAAACTATTAAAACTTTAAAAAAGAGAAGGCCTGGCCAGGAGATTCCTGAACTTTTAAAACTATTAAAACTTTAAAAACTTTCAAAACGATTAAAACTATTAAAACTTTTAAAAAGGCTGCCTTTTAATAGTTTTAATAGTTTTAATAATTTAAACTTTTAAAAAGCCTCCCAAACTATTAAAACTATTAAAAAGAAGCCTTTTTAATAGTTTTAATAGTTTTAATAGTTTTAATAGTTTTAATAGTTCTAAAAGTTTAAATAGTTTTAAAAGTTTTAAAAGTTCAGGAATCTCCAGGCCAGGCCTTCTCCTTTTTAAAGTTTTAATAGTTTTAATAGTTTGAACTTTTAAAAAGCCTCCCAAACTATTGAAACTATTAAAAAGAAGCAATTTTAATAGTTTTAATAGTTTTAATAGTTTTAAAAGTTTCAAAAGTTCAGGAATCTCCAGGCCAGGCCTTCTCCTTTTTAAAGTTTTAATAGTTTTAATAGTTTCAACTTTTAAAAAGCCTCCCAAACTATTAAACCTATTAAAAGAAGCCTTTTTAATAGTTTAATAGTTTTAATAGTTTTAATAGTTTTAAATAGTTTTAATAGTTTAATAGTCTTAATAGTTTTAAAAGTTTTAAAAGTTCGGGAATCTCCAGGCCAGGCCTTTGCCTTTTTAAAGTTTTAATAGTTTGAACTTTTAAAAAGCCTCCCAAACTATTAAAACTATTAAAAAGAAGCCTTTTTAATAGTTTTAATAGTTTTAATAGTTTTAATAGTTTTAATAGTTTTAATAGTTTTAATAGTTTTAATAGTTTTAATAGTTTTAATAGTTTCAATAGTTTCAACTTTTAAAAAGCCTCCCAAACTATTAAATATTTCAAAAAGAGAAGGCCTGGCCAGGAGATTCCTGAACTTTTAAAACTATTAAAACTTTCAAAACTATTAAAACTATTTAAACTTTTAAAACCTTTAAAAAGGCTTCCTTTTAATAGTTTTAATAGTTTTAATAGTTACAACTTCTAAAAAGCCTCCCAAACTATTAAAACTATTACAAAGAAGCCTTTTTAATAGTTTTAATAGTTTTAAAAGTTTTAAAAGTTCAGGAATCTCCAGGCCAGGCCTTCTCCTTTTTAAAGTTCCAATAGTTTTAATAGTTTGAACTTTTAAAAAGCCGCCCAAACTATTAAAACTATTAAAAAGATGCATTTTTAGTAGTTTTATTAGTTTTAATAGTTTTAAAAGTTTCAAAAGTTCAGGAATCTCCAGGCCAGGCCTTCTCCTTTTTAAAGCTTTAATAGTTTTAATAGTTTCAACTTTTAAAAAGCCTCCCAAACCATTAAAACTATTAAAAAGAAGCCTTTTTTATAGTTTTGATAGTTTTAATAGTTTCAACTTCAAAAAATCCTTTCAAACTATTAAAACATTAAAAAGATTTAAAAGTTCAGGAATTTCCTGGACAGGGCCCCGGGCCTCTCCCCAATACAAAACCACGAGCCCGGGCCTCCCCCCAATACTAAATTACGAGCCCGGGCTTCTCCCCAATACTAAATTACGAGCCCGGGCCTCCCCCCCAATACTAAATTACGAGCCCGGGCCTCCCCCCAATATTAAATTACGAGCCCGAGCCTCCCCCCAATACTAAATCACGAGCCCAGGCCTGCCCCCAATACTAAATCACGAGCCCAGGCCTCCCCCCAATACTAAACTACAAGCCCGGGCCTCCTTCCAATACTAACCGGCCATGAGATTCCTGAACTTTCAAAACTTTTAAAACTTTTAAAACTATTAAAACTATTAAAACTTTTAAAACTTTTAAAACTTAAAAAAGCCTCGGGCCTTCTCCCAATACTAAATTACGAGCCCGGGCCTTCTCCCAATACTAAATCACGAGCCCGGGCCTTCTCCCAATACTAAATCACGAGCCCGGGCCTCCCCCCAATACTAAATGACGAGCCCGGGCCTCCCCCCAATACTACATCACGAGCCCGGGCCTTCTCCCAATACTAAATCACGAGTCCGAGCCTTTCCGGAAGCGGGCCAGCCCCCCCTCCTTTTCCATTTAAATTGTTTTTATTTTATGTAAATTATAAGAATTATGTAAATTATATAAATTAGGGTCGCGTCACTTTGGTCAGATTTTGCCGGGCCCCGCGTAGATCCAGGCAGATTTTGTCCATGGTGATTTCTCTAAAAACACAACGGACAAAATCTGCCTGGATCTACGCATCACTTTTTTTGTAAGAAACAGCGCCGCGTAGATCCGGGCAGATTTTGTCCATGGTGTTTTCTCAAAAAACACGAAGGACAAAATTTGGCCAAATCGGGCTGCTCTTCGTCGGAGATGAGAAATGCGCGGCTCGATTTGGCCAAATTTTGCCGGGCAGCCTCCGGGCAAAATTTGGCCAAATCGGGCTGCTCTTCGCGTGCGATGAGAAATGCACGGCTCGATTTGGCCAAATTTTGCCGGGCAGCCTCCGGGCAAAATTTGGCCAAATCGGGCTGCTCTTCGTGAGCGATGAGAAATGCGCGGCTCGATTTGGCCAAGTTTTGCCGGGCAGCCTCCAGGCAAAATTTGGCCAAATCGGGCTGCTCTTCGTATGCGATGAGAAATGCACGGCTCGATTTGGCCAAATTTTGCCGGGCAGCCTCCGGGCAAAATTTGGCCAAATCGGGCTGCTCTTCGTATGCGATGAGAAATGCGCGGCTCGATTTGGCCAAATTTTGCCGGGCAGCCTCCGGGCAAAATTTGGCCAAATCGGGCTGCTCTTCGTGAGCGATGAGAAATGCGCGGCTCGATTTGGCCAAATTTTGCCGGGCAGCCTTCGGGCAAAATTTGGCCAAATCGGGCTGCTCTTCGTGTGCGATGAGAAATGCGCGGCTCGATTTGGCCAAATTTTGCCGGGCAGCCTCCGGGCAAAATTTGGCCAAATCGGGCTGCTCTTCGTGTGCGATGAGAAATGCACGGCTCGGTTTGGCCAAATTTTGCCGGGCAGCCTCCGGGCAAAATTTGGCCAAATCGGGCTGCTCTTCGTGTGCGATGAGAAATTCGCGGCTCAAAGGGACACCTTTTTGGATTGGCAGCAAACCCAGCTGATGCTCATGATATCTCTCTCTATATATAGGGGCGATGGAACGGGTGTCCTTTTCCTTTTCAATCGTCTTCTGCATCTTCAAAGGAGAAAGAACGACACCCCCCAAGAGGGAAAAGAACACAAGAGACAGGGAGGGGAATTGAAGAGCTCCTCTCTTTACTTATTCTTTCCCTTTCCTCTCTTCCTACCTGTTCTTGTTCTTATTCGCTTCAAAAAGCAAAATAAGGGAAAGGAGCTTTCCTGGAGAGGAGGGAGGACACCTATATGTGAAGAGCAAGAAGGGTTGTTTTCTCATTCAAAAGGGACAAAGGAGAGAAGATAGATGTAGAGGAAAGTCATCTTCTTTGCGCCTTGTTTTGTCCGTCCCTCTCATTGCTTCCTGTCTCTTCTATTCCTTTCAGTACGCTTCCAGAAAAAAGGCATCCTTGTGATCTCTCCTCTCTCATTTCCCTTTCCCTTCTCTCCACCTATTACCTTTCAACTGATTAAAAAACAAGACAGGAACTTGTATGATAAAGCAGGGGAAAGGTAAGCAGAGGGTGACTCCTTGCGCGTGGACCTTGCCGTACTTCATCATATCCCTCTTCTCGGCCTATCTCTTCTGCTTTT